GATAATGGTGCCCCCGTTGGTGCCAGGGCCCCATTCCCATGGGGAGCGCAGGGCTCGGGCACCGTAAAGGGAATCGACCCCATCGGAGCCTGGGATCCAGCCCTGGGAGCGCCGAGCTCCCGGATCCATGGAGGAACCCGGAGCCACGAGCGGGAGCATCCGGACGAGCTCCCCCTGCCCAGGGATGCTCGGGAACGGCGGCTCCCAAGCGAGGCCCCGCAATGGGATGGCCGGGACCCGGCGGCACCTGGGCCCCCCCCCCGCCCTCCCCGGAACCCATCCCCAAAGCCCCGCGGGGTTCCCCCTGCACCCGGGGCCGAGGCTCCCGTCCCGGCTCCATGGAGCGGGGCTGCCCCCTCCCCGGAGCGCGGGGCCGGGCCGCAGCGAGCAGCGGGGCCGGGGCTGGAGGCCCCAGCGCTGGGAGCGGGGCCCGGGCGGGAGCCGCGGCCTGGGGCGGAGGCTGAGGCCGGGCCCGCACTAGGCCGCGGATCCCCGGGCTGGGGTAGCGGCGGGGCCGGGCTGGGCGCGGGGCCCGCGGGGCGGGCGCGGGTGGCGGTACCTGGTCCGTGATGCTGAGAATCCCCATCTCGGGGCCGCCCTCAGCGCGCAGCTCCCGGCATCGGGCTCCGGCCGCGGCGGCTCCGCTCGGGCGGCTCTGGCGGGGCGGGGAGCGCCTGGGCCCGCCCACAGCTCGGGGAGCGGCCGGGCCGCAGCGCCGCCGCCGGCCGGGAGCGCCGGCTGCCGACCGGGCCTCGGGCCCCAACCCCGGCCACCCCCGGGGTACCCCCCCGGCCCCCCGGCGTTGCTGTGAGCCCCGGTTAATGCCCAGCCCGGCCGGAGCCGTGCCCGTGCGCGGGGCCCATCCCCGTGGCCGGGACCGGCCGTCGGTGGCAGCAGCCACGTGTGCGGGGGTCACGGGGCACCGGGCAGGGCCTTGGGGCCGCCCCGCACGGTGCGGGGTGAAGGCGACGGCCGGGCCCCGGCGCTCCCAGCCGGTTACCGGTACCGGGCACGGGGCTGGGTCGTCCCCCCTCCGCGTCCTGGGGGGGTGAACGCGGTGCTCCCACGGGGAGTGGGGCCCCACAGGCCCGGACCCATGGAGCGGAGGGCGGGGGGGGGGGGTGTCCCACCGGGGCTCCCCTCGGAGCTGCCCCGGGGCCCGGTTGCCCCCGGTTATACCCGCACCGGAACTACAGTTCCCATCACCCCGCGCGCGCCGCGAACTACAACTCCCATGGTGCCCCGCGCGGAGGGTGGTGGGAGGCGTGGCTCCCGCCCCTGCGCTGTCAGCGTAGTGACATTGCGGTGACGTTACGGTGACGTAGCGGGAAGGGGTGAGAGGTCACCCGGTGCGAGGGCTCCGGGCCCCGGTGATGGCGGCGCGGAGGCTCCGCGGGGCCGTGCAAGGCCTCGGGGCGCGGCAGCGGCTGCGGGCGGCGGGGGCGGCGGGGCCGGCCCTGGGGTAAGCGCGGGGCGGGAGGGGGGGAACCGGTTCCAGCGCCTTGGAACGGCGCCGGTGCCGCCGGGAGCGCGGTGTCCGGACACTCCGGGTATGGCCGGGACCGCACCGGGAACCCGGGGGGGGTTGCTCCGAGCGCTGTGTCCGGACGCACCGGGAGCCGGGGGGGGCCCGGCGGCTCCGTCCGGGGCTATTCTGGGCGCTGCGGGGCTGCCAGGCCTGGCACGGGCGCTGCGGCGGTGGGGGAGCGGAGCCGGGGCTATAAATACCCCGCGGTGCCGGCCCTGGGGGGGGCAGCGGTCACCAGGACCCCCCCAACCCCGGTCCGGGCCCGGGCACCACCGGGTCCCGGTGCTCGGGTGCTGCCGGTGGGGCCCCGTTGGTCCCCATGGAGGTGCCCCCCCCCCCGCACCGGGCGCCAGTTCCCAGCGGGACCCCCGGGGGAACCGGACTGGTGGGAGCGGGATCAGGTTTCCTCCTCTTGCGCAAGAGCGGGGCCGGGATGGGGCTGGGATGGAGCCGATGGGACCGGGATGCGGCTGGGTCAGGGTTAGGGCTGGGATGGGACCAGGATGGAGCCAGGATGGGACCGGGATGGGGCTGGGAAGGCACCGGGATGGGACCAGGATGGGGCTGGGAAGGGGCTGGGAATGGGCTCCCGGTGACAGCCCCATTCCCCCCCCCAGCCCCGCGGTGCTGAGCGGCCTCCGGGTGCTGCCCGGTACCGAATGGGACCCGCGGCTCCAGCCCGTGCGGTGCTTCCTGAGCCTCAGCACCAAGAGGAAGGAGTACTCGGAGCGGAGAATCATGGGGTACGGGGCGGCTCCAGCACCCGGGGTACCCCCCGATGGGTGACCAACACCCCTTGGCCTCCATGCCCCCCATTGCCCTCAATGCTCACCCTTTGTCTTCAGTGCCCCCTTAAGCTTAATGCCCACCCCTTGACCTCCATGCCCACCCTTGTCCTCAATGCCCCCCATTGTCCTCGGTGCCCCCTTAACCTTAATGCCCACCCCTTATCCTCCATCCCCCCCTTGCCCTCAATGCCCACCCCTTGCCCTCAATGCCCCCCCTTGCCCTCAATGCCCCCCCTTGCCCTCAATGCCCCCCCTTGCCCTCAATGCCCCCCCTTTGTCCTTAGTGCCCCCTTGACCTTAATGCCCACCCCTTATTCTCCATGCCCCCCTTATCCTAAATGCCCCCCCCTTACCCTCCATGCCCCCCTTGACCTCCATGCCCCCCCTTGACCTCCATGCCCCCCATTGACCTCAATACCCCCCAGGTACTCCATGCAGGAGATGTACGCCGTGGTGGCCAACGTGGAGGACTACAAGCACTTTGTGCCCTGGTGCAAGCGCTCGGTGGTGCTGGCGCGGCGCTCGGGGCACCTCAAGGCCCAGCTCGAGGTCGGGTTCCCCCCGGTGCTGGAGCGCTACACGTCCAGCGTGACCCTGGTGCGCCCGCACCTCGTCAAGGTGAGCCGTGGCCATGGGGGTCAATGGGGGGACCCTAAGGGCTCTTTGAACCCTTCTGTCCCCCTCCATCCATCCATCAGGCCGTTTGCACCGATGGGAAGCTCTTCAACCACTTGGAGACCAACTGGCGCTTCAGCCCCGGCATCCCCGGGTACCCGCGCACCAGCACCGTGGACTTCTCGGTGAGGATGGAGCTCACGGAACCAGAGAACCATGGCCAGGGTTGGGAAGGAGCTTGAGGTCACCCAGTTCCAACCCCTGCCATGGGCAGGGACCCCTCGCTCTAAACCACATCCCCCAAGGCCTCGTCCAGCCTGGCCTTGAACACTGCCAGGGATGGAGCATTCACAACCTCCCTGGGCACCCATTCCAGTGCCTCAGCACCCTCACAGGAAAGAATTTCCTCCTTAGATCCAATCTAAACTCCCCCTGTTCCAGTTTTAACCCATCACCCCTTGTCCTGTCACTGCAGTCCCTAATGAAGAGTCCATCCCCAGCATCCCTATAGGCCCCCTTCAGACACTGGAAGCTGCTGAGGTCTCCACGCAGCTCCAGGCTGAACAGCCCCAACTCTCCCACCCTATCTCCATATGGGAGCATCCTCCTGGCCTCCTCTGGACCTGTTCCACCAGCTCCATGTCCTCTTTATGTAGAGCACCCCAGAACCGCACTCACTGCTCCAAGCGAGGTCCCACAAGAGATGGGGGGGACCCAACCCAACCTCAACCCCCCTCCCCTCCACCCCCCCAGATCTCCTTCGAGTTCCGCTCCCTGCTGCACTCCCACTTGGCCACCGTGTTCTTCGATGAGGTGGTCAAGCAGATGGTGGCCGCCTTCGAGCGCCGCGCGGCCGCCACCTTCGGGCCCGAGACGCGCGTCCCCCGGGAGCTCCTGTGCCACCGGCTCCAGCAGACGTGAGGGGGGCACGCACTGGGACAGACCCCCCCTGCTCCCCATCCCATCCCAAGCTATTTATATGGGCACTGCTGCACCCCTATCCCCATGGATATGGGGGGGGTTTGGGGGTGCTGAGAGCCCCCGGCCCCACTGCAGGAGCCGGCGCTGGACTTGTTTGGTTTTAAGTGGTTTTAGTCCTGTTTTGGGCTTCTTTGCATTGATTTTGACCCCGTTTTGGTTCAGTTTTAGCTCCCTTTGGGGGGGGGGGCTATGGAAGGGGTTTGGGGGGGGCACACAGGGGTAGGACCCTTCCATCCTCCCTCTTCAGGAGCCATAGGGCAGGAGTGGGGCCCCGGCCCCACAGCGCAGTTTGCACAAGGCACACGCACAGGGTTTGGGGGGGGGCTCACTCTGCACCCCCATTTCCCCTCCCCTTCAGCACCCCCATAGGGGTGGCTCTGAGGGGGGGGTCCCCCCAAGGCCAATAAAGACTGATCCCAAGGGTGAGAGCAGCCTCATGGTCCTCATTGGGGAATTGGGGGGGGGGATCCCCGAAACCATCGCTCGCTATGGGGGGGGGTGGGGGTGCACCACATCCTGCCCCTCCCCCCATCCCCCCCCCCAAATCCCCCCGGGATTTGTTAATAAAAACATTTATTTTGCATTTTCTCGTTGTTTGTACAGAAGTGGCCGGGGTGGGGGTGGGGGGGAGGGGGTGGGGGAGGGGCATTGGACACAGTGGTTTTTTGGGGGGGGAGGGGGGGGTCACACAAACACAGCCGGGGGGGGGAGGAGTGTATCGAGTCCCTGCATGGGGGGGGGGCACATTCATTCTGCTGCCCCCCCCAAGGGGGGGGGATGGGACAGAGGCTGGACTGAGCCCTCTCAATGGAGGGAGGGGGTGGGGGGGATGAACCCCAATGTTGGTGCCACCCCCCCTCAACCCCCTCCCAGCGCAGCAGCCAATGAAGGGGTTCCCAGTGTGTGTGGGGCTGCCTCTGCCCCCCCCCCCCATCCATCCATAGGGGACAGGAGCAAGGGGGGACCCACGGCTTGGGGGGGGTTCAGTGCTGAGTCCATCCCTTCCCATCCAATCCCTTCCATCCCATCCATCCCTTCCCATCCAATCCCATCCCTTCCCTTCCATCCCTTCCATCCAATCCCGTTCCATCCATCCCGTCCCTACCCGGCTCTGTAGCCCACGAGCTGCATGAGCCCCTTGGTGCTCATGGACTTGGGGCGCTCCAAGGGGAAGCCCAGGGCCCGGCTCCAGATGAGCTGCGAGAGGACCCCCAGGGCCCGCGAGACCCCGAACAGCACCGTGTAGTAATTCATCTCCTTGAGGCCGTAGTACTGCGGGGAGAGGCAGTCAGCGCCGTGGGGCAGTGCAATGGGGCTCAATGGGGGCAGCAATGGGGTCAGTGCCATGGGATAGCAATGGGGTTCAATGGGGGCAGCAATGGGGCCAGTGCCATGGGGTCAGCGCAATGGGGCAGCAATAGGGTCAGTGCCATGAGGTCAGCAATGGGGCGCAATGGGGTCAGTGCCATGGGGTCAGCAATGGGGCTCAATGGGGTCAGCACAATGGGGCAACAATTGGGTCAGTGCCATGGGGCAGCAATGGGGCTCAATGGGGTCAGTGCCATGGGGTCAGCGCAATGGGGTCAGTGCCATGGGGTCAGCGCAATGGGGTCAGTGCCATGGGGTCAGTGCAATGGGGTCAGTGCAATGGGGTCAGCACACTGGGGTCAGCGCCATGGGGTCAGCGCAATGGGGCTCAACGGGGTTAGTGCAATAGGGTCAGTGCAATGGGGTCAGTGCCATGGGATCAGTGCACTGGGGTCAGTGCAATGGGGTCAGCGCCATGGGGTCCATGCAATGGGTTCAGTGCCATGGGGTCAGCGCAATGGGGGCAGCGCAATGGGGTCAGCGCCATGGGGTCAGTGCATTGGGATCAGTGCAATGGGTTCAGCGCCATGGGGTCAGTGCCATGGGGGTAGCACAATGGGGTCAGTGCAATGGGGTCAGTGCAATGGGGTCAGTGCAATGGGGCTCAACGGGGTCAGTGCAATGGGGTCAGTGCAATGGGGTCAATGCAATGGGCAGCGCCATGGGCCCCCCGCAGCCCCGTGCCCCCCGCTGTGCTCACCTGCAGCAGGACCCCGCTGTGGGCGTCCACGTTGGGCCAGGGGTTCTTGGCCTTGCCCTGCTCCAGGAGCACGTTGGGGACGATCTTGTAGAGCTGCGCCACGAGCTTGAAGAGGGGGTCCTGGGGCAGGTGCTTGAGCGCGAACTCCCGCTGGCAGCTGTAGCGCGGGTCCGTCTTGCGCAGCACCGCGTGCCCGTAGCCCGGCACCACCTGCACGGGGCCGGGACCCACCGGGAGCTCAGCGCCTGATGCTGCACCAGGGGGCTCCAGGGTGGCCTCAGGCAGGATCCAGGGATGGAGCATCCCAACCTCCCCCATCCGACCCATCCCATTGGCCCATTGCTTCCACTGCTGCTGGACCAGGGGGCTCCAGGGTGGCCTCGGGCACGGCCAGGGATGGAGCATCCCAACCTCCCCCATCCGACCCATCCCAGTGCCCCATTGCTTCCACTGCTGCTGGACCAGGGGGCTCCAGGGTGGCCTCAGGCACGGCCAGGGATGGAGCATCCCAAGCTCCATCCGACCCATCCCATTGCCCCATCACCCATTGCCCCATCACCCATTGCTTCCGCTGCACTAGGATGCTCCAGGCTGGCCTTAAGGATGGCCGGAGATGCAGTATCCCAACCCATCCCATTGCCCCATCACCCATTGCCCCATCGCTTCCACTGCACCAGGATGCTCCAGGCTGGTGTTAAGCACAACCCAGGGACGGAGCATCCCAACCAATCCCATTGCCCCATCACCCATTGCCCCATCACCCATCGCTTCCGCTGCACTAGGATGCTTCCAGGCTGGCCTTAAGGATGGCCGGAGATGCAGTATCCCAACCCATCCCATTGCCCCATCCAACCCATCCCATTGCCCCATCGCTTCCACTGCACCAGGATGCTCCAGGCTGGCCTTGAGCACAACCCAGGGATGGAGCATCCCAACCAATCCCATTGCCCCATCTCCCATTGCCCCATTGCTTCCACTGCACCAGGATGCTCCAGGCTGGCCTTGAGCCAGACCCAGGGACGGAGCATCCCAACCCATCCCAGTCCATCCCCCCTGCCCCATCGCTCCACCATCCCCGCACCCCCCATCACCCACTGGGAGCCGCTCTTCCCCACCCCAGCCCCTACGGGAGCTGCTCCAGGCCCCGCTGGTGCCCGTGGCCTCCCCTGGCCCCGCTCCAGCCGCTCCGTGCCCCAGGGCTGGGCTCACCCTGCCCGAGTTGAGCGTGTTCCAGATGAACTCCCGCAGCTTCTCATCCGACACCTCCGTGCCCAGCTCCTTCTGCAGCTCCGTCAGCCACAGCAGCACCTCCTGCGCAGCCCATGCAGGGGGGGGCTCAGCACCGCGCTCCGTCCCACAGGGGACCGATGGGGGGCATGCACCCAGTGCACACCAGTGCACACCCAGTGCTCACCCAGTGCTTACCTGGGGCTCAGCACCGCGCTCCACCCACAACAACACCCAGTGCTCACCCAGTGCTCACCCAGTGCTCACCCAGCGCTCACCCAGCGCTCACCCAGTGCTCACCCAGTGCTCACCAGTGCTCACCCAGTGCTCACCCAGTGCTCACCCAGTGCTCACCCAGCGCTCACCCAGTGCTCACCAGTGCTCACCCAGTGCACACCCAGTGCTCACCCAGTGCTCACCAGTGCTCACCCAGCCCAGTGCTCACCAGTGCTCACCAGTGCTCACCAGTGCTCACCCAGTGCTCACCCAGTGCTCACCAGTGCTCACCCAGTGCTCACCCAGTGCTCACCCAGTGCTCACCCAGCTCTCACCCAGCCCACTGCTCACCAGTGCTCACCCAGTGCTCACCAGCGCTCACCCAGCGCTCACCAGCGCTCACCAGTGCTCACCCAGTGCTCACCAGCGCTCACCTGGTTGGCGAGCCCGTGCAGGGGCCCTGCCAGCCCGTTCATGGCAGCGGCGAAGGCGAGGTAGGGGTCGGACAAGGCGCTGCCGACCAAGTGGCTGGTGTGGGCGCTGACGTTGCCCCCCTCGTGGTCACTGCAGGGGCGAGGAGGCAGCGTCCCCTTTACCCCCATCCCCAGGGCGCCGCCGCCGCAGCCCCATGGCCCCGGCCCCGCACCTGTGGATGGTGAGGTAGAGGCGCAGGAGCTCGATGAACTGGGGCTCGCCGTAGCCCAGCATGTTACCGAAGTTGTGGGACCAGTCGAGGCTGGGGTCGATGGCGCCGATGCCGCTGCCCTCCCGGTACAGGTTGCGGTAGATCTTGGCCGCCACGCACGGCAGCTTCGCGATGAGGTCCATGGCGTCCTCATAGACAAACTGAAGGGGAGGAATCAAACCAGGACCCCCCCCCAACCTGGCACCGCGTTATAACGGGGTCCTCACCCGCCCCCCCCCCAGCTCCCCATTACCTCCCAGTACTTGGCGCGATGGACGCCCTCGGCGTAGGCGCGTGCGAACTTGCTCTCGCTGTTGAGCGCGGTGACGGCGGCGCTCAGCTGGGACATGGGGTGCAGGTTGGTGGGGAAGTTGTCCAGCATGGTCACCACGTGCGACGGCAGCGCCGCGCGCCGGGCCCACTCCCGAGACACCCAGGTCACCTGCGACGGGGACGCGGGGCTGAGGCGGTGGCACCGGCGCCGGCATCGCCCGGTGCCCGCGGTGGCGCCGGTGCCGTACCTGCTCCTGGGTGGGCATCTCCCCGGTCACCAGCAGCCAGAAGAGCCCCTCGGGCAGCGGCTCCTCGCCCCCCGGGGCTTTGGGCAGCAGCTTCTGGCACTCGGGGATGCTGTACCCCCGGAAGCGGATGCCCTGCGGAGCGCGGTGCAGGCGTGAGCCCCGAGCACCGGTGATGCCGGTACCGAGCGGGGCGCAGGCATGGCCGTACCTCATCGGGATCCAGCACCGAGGTCTCGTAGATGAGCCCCTTCATGCCCCTCATCCCGCCGTACACCTGGGAGAGCGCGGGCGGTGGAGCCGGGGTTACCGGGTGCGGTGGTGCCGGTGCCCCGCATCCCGTCCCCCCCATCCCCATCTCACCATATCCACCGTGATCTGGCCGATGGCCGTGCTGCCGTGCTGCTGCCGGAAGCTCTTGATCTTCGCCTGCTCCTTGGGGATCATGGAGGCCAGGACGTCCTTCAGGTTCTGGGGGGCAGGGAGCGGGGCTGAGGACCCGGTACCGGTGGGGCTGAGCTGCCCCCCCCCATCACCATCACCACCGGGGTCCCCTCTTACCGTAGCGGCGCTGGCGCGGCGGGCGGCGAAGAGGACGCAGGGGGGGTTCTAAGGGAGAGCAGGAGCCGGTGTTACCGGTAGGGCCGTGCCAAGGCGGAAGCGCTGCGGTTCCCTGCGGCAGGCCCGGGGAAGCCGAGCTTTGTTCCTCCACCCACGGGGATTCCACCCGGATGCAGGTGGGAAGCAGCCGCCGGAGCCGCCGGGAGCCGCATCCATGGCCCGGTACCGGTACAACGGGAACGGAGGGGAGAACCGGGGGGGGGGGGGCAACAGCGGCGGCTGCACCGAGTCCCGTGGCCCCCCCCCGCCGCTATGAGGAACAATGGAGGCGGCAGCGCGGAGCCCAAGGTCAAGGCGGCCGCAGGCACCGGTGTCACCGCTCCGGGCCCGAGGTGCCGCGGGCTCAAGGTCACAACGGCGCCGCGGGGCCACCGGTGACAGCGGGGCCGAACGGAGGGGATGAAGGCGCGGACCGGAGGGTGCCCCCCCCTCACAGAGTGAACGGGGCCAAGTGGGGCATCAGCGGGGCCCAAAATAACGCCCGGTCGATACCGACACCGCAGCGCCCGTTACGAAACGCGAGGCCGCGGCCAACGCGGAGGTGGGGGGGGGGGGAACCGGGACCGGCCCTGCCCGGCACCGGCGTCCGGTTCTGCCCCTTCCCAACACAGCCCCGGCCCGGTGGGGCCGTGACCCCATTGCCCTCTAAGGGAAGGGGACAACGGAAGGGGGGGGACCCCCGGTTCTACCCCAGGCCCTACCGGTGCCCCCCCCCCCGCCCTGTTCATTCGTTAACGGCCACGGCGGCGCCGGTGCCCACCACGTGCAGCCGCTGCGGTCCCCCCTCTCCGACGGCCCCTTTAAGGCCGCGCACCCCCCCCACCTCCCGCGTTGCCCCTTTAAGAGCCGGTGCCGTGCCCGTGGCTCGCACCCCCCCCCCATCGCCCGTTTAAGGCGCGGCCGGGCCGGGCCGGGCGCGCTCACCTTGGGCCCGCGGAGGCGCGCGGCCGCGCGGGTGCCGGCGGCGAGGAGCGTCATGGCGGGAACGGCGGCACCGGGCGGGGCGGGACCGGGAGCGGGGCCGGGAACGGGCGCGGGGCCGGAGCTGGAGGCGGCGGCAGCGGCGGCGGCGGCCGAGGGGGTCCTTAGCGGCGGGCGGGGCGGGGCGCGGCGCCGCGATGGTTATTAGCATAGCCACGCCCGTCGCCACGCCCCGCCCGGTGTAAGGCCGTTCCCCATTGGCTGGTCGTCGCGCAGAGGGGCGGGGCTATACAAATGAGGCAGCGCGGGTAGGGGGGCCCCGGCTGTAGGTGTCCGCAGCGTTCGCCTGATCGTGGCCTTGAGGTGGGGTGAGGCGGGGCCCCGCCCCTCCCGCGTGACGTCACCGCCCGCACCCCGTGACGTCACGCCGCTGCGTCACCCTCCCGCGCCGCGACGTCCCCATCCCGGTGCCGCTCCGGTCGCGGCGTAGGGGCAGCCCCGTGACGTCACCGGGCACCGGGCCACGTGCTATGAGGTCATGGGAGGGCCATGACGTCACCCCGCGGCCGGCCGCCAGGGGCTCGGGGTCACCCGGTGCCATTGCTTCAGCTCCGCGGTGACGTCAGCGAGGGGGCGTGGCCGCTGCTGAGCGACCCCATTGACCCCAGGACATTGCCCCGGTGACGGTGACACAAGGACACGGGAACGGGGACACCGGAGCAGGGGTGACAGCGGGTGACAGGGAGCACATGGGTGACACGGGATGACGGGTGACATGGTGCCATGGGTGACACAGGGTGACAGGTGACGTGGTGCCATGGGTGACAGAGGGTGATGGGTGGCACCAGGTGATAGGGGACACATGGGTGACACATGGGACCATGGGTGACACAGGGTGATGGGGGACACATGGGACCATGGGTGACACTGGGTGACACATAGGACCATGAGTGACACAGGGCGATGGGGGACACATGGGACCATGGGTGACACAGGGTGATGGGGGACACATGAGAGCATGGGTGACACAGGGTGATAGGGTACACATGGGACCATGGGTGACACAGGGCGATGGGGGACACATGGGACCATGGGTGACACAGGGTGATGGGGTACACATGGGACCATGGGTGACACAGGGCGATGGGGAACACATGGGACCATGGGTGACACAGGGTGATGGGGCACACATGGGACCATGGGTGACACAGGGCGATGGGGGACACATGGGACCATGGGTGACACAGGGCGATGGGGGACACATGGGACCATGGGTGACACAGGGTGATAGGGTACACATGGGACCATGGGTGACACATGGCAATGGGTGCCATGGGTGACACCAGGTGCTACAGGGTGCCATGGTGCCATGGGCTGACCAACGCCTGTCAGGAGCCACCCCCACCCCACGGCCGGTGGCCACCCCCCCGTGGGACCCCGTGGCTGTCACCAGCACCTCCCGGCCCCACCGCCCCACACACACCAGAGCCAGACCTGCCCTCCCTTGGGCCCACAGCACCGGCACCGCGCGGCCCCTTTATTGCCAGCGGCACGGAGGGGGGGTCCCAAAGCCGGTCCCGGTGCTTCCCCCCCCGGCAGCAGCAGGTCCGTGCCTGGCGCTTGTCCCACTGGAATGTCCTGGCTGGAGCAGGGCCACGGTCCCGGTGCCCCCTGCTCGGCACGGCCTCAACAAACAGGCCAAGAGCACCGGTGGGGGTGAGGCGGCTCCGGTGCTGCCGTGCGCTCCGGTGCATCCCGGTGGGGACGAGATGGAGGCAGAGGTAGAGGCCGTCGCGGTGGCGCGGGGCCCGTGCCCGGTCACAGTTCATCGTGCGGGATGTGCAGCGCGTGGTCACAGAGGTCTGCGGGGCCAAGGGACAGCACCGATAGCACCGGGAGCCACGGGCTCAGCACCGCGGCGCCGGCATCGAGCGCGGCCCCTGCTCAGCACCGCACCGGGGCAGCACAAAGGTTACGGCACCGCCTGACCCCGGTGTTTGCGAGCTGGAAATAGCCCTGTGGGAAGGGAGCTGCTGCGGGCGGGCACCCGGCCAGGGGAGCAGCAGCCAAACCCAGCCCCAGGCGCTGCGGGGCTGCCCCATTGGGATGAGGGGGTTTGGGAATGGGGGGGCCCTGAACCCAGAACCGTGCCCTGGGATGGGGGGGACACAGGGACAGCCCCCAGGGCTCACCCGTGCGCTTGCTGCAGAGCCGGTCCTTGACGTTGTCGGCCTCGTGGGAGAGGAACTCGATGAGCTCATCCTCGTACTCCTCCGCGATGCTCTCGCACTGCAATGGGAGCCGCTATGGGTCAGTGCCGGGGCCCAGAGCAGCCTCCAGCCCCACAGAGCTCCCAATGGGGGGGGGGGGGTCTGGACCCACCGCGAACTTGAGGCTGGAAGCCACGTCCCCATCGATGGTGACGCCGGAGAGGTCCAGCTTGGTCCCGTCGCGGGAGAGCACCCGCACGTAGCTCTTGCGCTGGGTGCCCGGGTCCAGCTGCTCCCCGTAGTCCTTCATCTTCTCGCACACCCGCTCCAGCAGCTCCGTCAGATGCGCCTCGGAGCGGGCATAGGGAACCTGCGGCAGCGGGATCAGGCTTGGAATGGGTCTGGTGCGCCCATGGATGGAGCAGCGCCCATAGGAGCCAGGCTGGGAGCACTGGGGCTGGAGAGGGGCAGCTTCCAGTGGGTGAAGGGGGGTACAAGGATGCTGGGGAGGGACCAGGGGTGATGGGGTCAGGCTGGAACAGGGGGAGTTCAGGTTGGAGATAAGGAAGCTCTTCCCTATGAGGGTGCTGAGGCACTGGGATGGGTTGAATGGGGCAGGTTTGGATGCTCCATTGCTGGCAGTGCTCAGGAATGGGGCTTGGAGCAGCCGGGCCTTGGCTCACCTCCACCACGGACTGGCTGCCGTCGGGGTTGATCCGGAACGAGCCCATCTGGATGGTTTTCCTGGGATCCACCTGGGCAATCTCCCACTCCAGCTCATCCACCAGTGCCCGGCACGCTGCGGGACAGCGCCGGCAATGGCACCGCCTGGCCCTGGTCCCATCCCCACCATCCCATCCATCCCATCCACCCCATCCATCCCATTCTATCCATCCCATCCCACCCCATCCCTTCCCATCCCTACCATCCCATCCCACTATCCCATCCCACCCCATCACATCCATCCCTTTTCATCCCATCCCATCCCATCCCACTATCCCATCCCACACCATCACATCCATCCCTTCCCACCCCATCCCATCCCCACTATCCCATCCCTTCCCATCCCATCCCATCCCATCCCATCCCACCCCATCCCATCCAATCCCATCCCATCACATCCATCCCTTTTCATCCCATCCATCCCATCCCATCCCATCCCACCCCATCCCATCCCATCCCATCCCATCCCATCCCATCCCATCCCATCCCACCCCATCCCACCCCACCCCTCCCCACCTCCGCAGTGCAGGTCCTGGCTCCGGCGGGCGCAGGCCGTGGGCAGCAGCAGGGCCGTGGCCAGGCCCATGCAGAGCACGGGCAGGACGGGGCCCCTCATCCTCAGGGGTCACCTGCGGGCACGGGTGGCTCCAGCGCTGCGCGGGGCCTCAGTGAAGGGCTGAGCCCAGCCCCTATGGAGCCCCCCCATGTATAGGATCAAACCCAGCCCCCTATGGATACCCCCCCCCATGTATAGGATCAAACCCAGCCCCCTATGGAGCCCCCCCATGTATAGGATCAAATCCAGCCCTTACGGAGCCCTCCATGTATATGATCAAACACAGCCCCCTAAGGAGCCCCCCCATGTATAGGATCAAGCCCAGCCCCCTATGGAGCTCCCATGTATAGGATCAAACCCAGCCCTTATGGAGCTCCCCATGTATAGGATCAAACCCAGCCCCCTATGGGGCCCCTTCCCCTGTATGATCAGAACCATTCCCCCTATGGAGCCCCTTCACTATAGGATGAAACAAAGCTCCCTGTGGAGCCCCTTCCCTATAGGATCAGACCCATTCCCCCTATGGAGCCCGTTCCCTACCGGGTCCCGTTCGCAGCCCCCTCTGGAGCCCGTTCCGAGCCCCCCCCCACTCAGGGCCTTGCCCGGAGCCGCGGGCCCGGCCGAGCCCCCCGCACCGCTCCGCGCCGCTCTCCCGCCCCCCGCTTGCCCCGGGGCTGTCCTCGGCACCGCCTGCCCCGGCGCTCCCCCTCCGCCCACCCCGCAGCGGGGCGAGGCCGCTCGGAGCAGCCGGCCCAGGAGCCGGGCGGGGCGGCGGAACCGGCAGGACCGGTCCAGGCCGCTCCGAGGCCCCCGGCGGGGCCGTCCCGGGCGCAGGCAGCATTAAGGGCAGCCCGGGAGCAAGGCTGAGGACCCCGAGCTACCAGGGCCCGGGCCGCGTGGCGCTTGGCCCTGCGGGGGGCGTGGCCGGATATGACTCCACCCCCTCCGTCTCTGACTCCGCCCCCGACTCCGCCCTCTCGGCCACCCTAGCCGCGGCCCCGGTGGGTCGCGGGTTCGAGTCCCGGTCCCGGTCCCTGACCCCGGAGCCAATCAGGAGGCAGCGGCGCGGGTGTCCGAGGCTGCTTTATGAGACCGCCCGGTCCGGCGGGCGGAGCGGGGGGGGGGCAGTGGTGGGGCTGTAACAGTTCCCGGTACCGGCAGGGAAAGGGAGTCCCGGGGCACCGGGCCCCGGGGGGGGGCTCGGGGCAGGGTCGGGGTCAGCCCCGTCCCCACTGCTGGTTCCAGTTCCTCGGGTATCCGCCTCCCTCGGGGCCGCTCGTCGCTGGGCACGGTCACAGGGCCAGCACCGGGGGGTACACGGCCCCATCTGCGGGCACAGAGCGCCATGAGGGGCTGCGGGGGGCACCGGGGTCTATGGGGGATAAAGGGGGGAGCCTTACGCTTGGGGCTGCTCTGGCTGTCGGGCTCGGGCACCTTCCAGTCCAGTTTCCGCCCCTTCTCATAGAGGCCCTTGAGCACCTTGCGGAAGTCCTCGGGCTCGGCGCCCTGCGGGCTCAGCTCCAGGTACTTGCGGTAGAGCTGCAGCGCCGTGCGCGCGTCCTCGATGCTGTCGTGGGTCTCACCCTGGATCTTGAGGTCTGGGGGGTCAGGGAGGGGGTCAGGGAGGGGATCAGAGGTGGGGTTAGGGATGGAATCAGGGATGGGGTTAGGGATGGGGTTAGGGATGGGGTTAGGGATGGGGACAGGGATGGGGACAGGGATGGGGTCAGGGATGGGATTAGGGATGGGGTCAGGGATAGGGTTAGGGATAGGGTTAGGGATAGGGACAGGGATGGGGTTAGGGATGGGGTTAGGGATGGGGACAGGGATGGGGACAGGGATGGGGTCAGGGATGGGGTTAGGGATAGGGACAGGGATGGGGACAGGGATGGGGTCAGGGATGGGGTCAGGGATGGGGTCAGGGATGGGGTCAGGGATGGGGTTAGGGATAGGGACAGGGATGGGGACAGGGATGGGGTCAGGGATGGGGTCAGGGATGGGGTTAGTAATGGAATCAGGGATTGGGTCAGGGATGGGGTCAAGGATGTGGTTAGGGATGGAGTTAGGATGGGGGCAGGGGGATGTGCCCCTCATCCCACATTCAACACCGAAGCACTGACCAAGGAAATACCAGGCAAGGAAGCGCAGGGAGATCATCCTCTTCCGGGGGATGTGGAACAGGTAAACGGTGTCGATGACCTGGTCCTTAGGCACCTATGGAGCAAGAGGGGGTCCTGCTGCCACCACTATGGGGCAGGGGGAGCCCTGGCCCTGCCAATAGGCTCCCAGCCCCACACCGAGCCCCCCTTGCCCCATGCCCACTGTCACCATCAGGTTGATGACACGGAAGTCCTTCTGCAGCCCGTGCCCCACAAACTTGACCCCCACGTCGATGAGGAAGCGCAGCTTCAGGTAGGTGGATTTGAGGGTGGTGAGGTGCTTGGAGGAGATCTTGGCATCCAGGTCCCCTGGCTTGATCCCCGAGTACTGGGTCAGGTAATCCACCACCTGCACACAGCAGTGCCCACCATGAGGGATGCCCCTTCCCCATTTACCCTGCCAGCATCCCAAGGTGGGTGCTGGCATCCATCATCCATGGACCTGGTCCCTCCTGTGACCCCATGGCAGAGGCAGAACGGGTCCATGTCCTTATGGGGGGCCATGCAGGACCCCCCTGTACCTGCTCCTGTGTGGAGATGTAGTCATCGATGAAGGGGACCCCCTCATTGGGGCCCTGCCCGCGCACGCACGTGATCCTGGCCACCGACATCTGACTGGGCTTGATGGTGGACTTGGTCCCATCGCTGCGCAGCTCGGCCTCCTCCTGCGATGGGGGGCAAGGGGAGACCTCGCTGCCACCCCCTTTTATAGGGCTCCCCCTGCACCCATTCCCCAGCACAGGGCCAGGACCCCACCTCGTTCAAGGTGACGAACTCAGCATCCAGCCCCACCAGGTCCCCCGCCTGCGGCATCTCGCTCAGCATGAGGGGGATGAAGGTGGCGTGGCACTTGCGCTGCTTGCGAGCCAGCGAGGCCTCCGCCAGCAGCACGCTGGCCTCAATGGGGTTCTTGACTGCCAGGGGAAGGGGAAAGGGATGTGGGGTGAGCCCCGGGGTAGAGGCGATGGCGCCGCAGCCGCTTCCAGCTCAGGCACTCACTGGTGAGGTTGTATTTGGCATTGAGGTTCCGCCGCGCGTAGTAGAGGATGGCCGGGACCTTCCAGCTCATGTCGAACTGCACCGCCTCGCACTGCGGGGATGGGGTGGGGGGGAACACACAGAGGGTGTGGGGCTGGGAGCTGCCCCCCATGGGGACCCACAGCCACCGCCTCACCCCACACACGCTCACCTTGTCCACGGGCTCGATGAGGAAGTCGTTGAAGAGGTACCACTGCTGGTGCGTGACGCCCTGGGGGGGTGTCCATCCCATCCCATCCCATCCATCCCATCCCATCCCATCCCATCCCATCCCATCCCATCCCATCCATCCCATCCCATCCCATCCCATCCCCATCCCATCCCCATCCCATCCCATCCCATCCCCATCCCATCCCCTTCCCATCCCATCCCATCCCACCCCATCCCCATCCCATCCCCATCCCAGCCCATCCCATCCCATCCCATCCCCATCCCATCCCCATCCCATCCCCATCCCATCCCATCCCATCCATCCCATCCCCATCCCATCCCATCCCATCCATCCCATCCCCATCCCCATCCCATCCCATCCCATCCATCCCATCCCCATCCCATCCCATCCCATCCATCCCATCCCATCCCATCCCATCCCATCCCATCCCATCCCATCCCCATCCCATCCCATCCCATCCCATCCCATCCCCATCCCATCCCCATCCCCATCCCCATCCCATCGTGTGTCCCCCCCCGCCCCACAGCAAGGCAAAGGCAATGACTCCGTGCCCCGGTTACCATGGAAACAGGGATGTGAGGATGCCCTATGGGGACTCCCGCCCTTCCTGGGACACCCAAGGGGAAATCCCTGCCCGCCTGCACAGGGAGCCCTGGGGCTCACTCCAAGGCAGAACCCAAGAGGCAGGGCTGGAGCCTTGCCACACACTGGGAATCCCTGGCTCCCAGTTTGGGGAAGGGAGGGGATGGCCCAGCCCCTACCTGGGTGCACAGGGAGGAGCAAGCAGGGAGCCTGCAAGAGGAGGACCCAGCTTGGGGAAGAGTGGGAAGCGTTTTCCTTCCCCCCTGCCCTACTCCGCATTGAGGCCCCCATTGATGCACTGAGGACCCCGCAGCAGCAGGGGAGCAGCACCCCCAGCAGCCCCCATGCACACAGCCCCTCACCTCCTTCCGTTGGTGATAGGTCTCTCCCACTTTGATGTGTCCCACCAGGCTGCCCCCGGTGCGGGCATCCAGGATGTGCACCACGGTGGCCATCAGGTCATAGACATAAACCGAGTCGGGGTCCTCGGTGGGGCTGAGCTGTGGGGTTGAGCTCCATGCTTTCCATGCTCCCCCGAGGCCTCTGCCCCACAGCCCCGCATCACAGAGCCCCCCATGGGGCTCCTCCCCTTCACCTCCTCGTTCTCGCTCCAGTTGCAGACATCGAGCTCCTTGCTCTTGCTCAGCCTCATCCTGATGGCGTGCGGGATCCAAACGTTCTTCAGCTCCTCCATGGATGGGTGCGGGGGCCCCGGGGCCGGGCTCCCCAGCTCCTTCCTGCAGGGAGAAAGGGGGGAAACCCGGAGGGGTCCTGGGCTGGCAGCCAGGATCCCAGCCAGGACAGGCCCGGACCGGCCACAGGACAGGGGAGCCAGAGCCACGCTGCTTCCCTATGGAGAGGGATGGCCAATGGATGGCTTTGGATGGGCAATGGGAGACCCTGGGATGGCCAATGGAAGACCCTGGGATGGCCAATGGAAGAGCCTGGGATGGCCAATGGAAGACCCTGGGATGGCCAATGGATGGCTTTGGATGGCCAATGGAAGACCCTGGGATGGCCAATGGAAGACCCTGGGATGGCCAATGGATGGCTTTGGATGGCCAATGGAAGACCCTGGGATGGCCAATGGAAGACCCTGGGATGGCCAATGGCAGACCCTGGGATGCTCAATGGATGGCTTTGGATGCCCAATGGATGCTCCCGGCTCTGTTG